AGGCTGTTCATATATTCTTAGGAAAGTGGTCCATTAGGGGAGGTGGGGTATTGCCCCACTGACCTCAATCTGCCCTCACCCAGCCCTCACCTTTCTGCCTTCTTACTTACAACCAGTTCAGGGGGTTGCAGAACTCCCTGTCTGTTTCCTCTTCTTCCATCTCAGTGTTGCCCTTGTAGAACTCATCAGGTAGGAGGATGGGGAGAAAATGAGACTTAGCTGGCTCAGCCTGTCATTAGCTCCCACTCCACCTACTGTTTGGTCTCCCTGCATTCTGCCCCTCCAATCTCCAACCACGACTGATGCAACTTTTTGGATACTGCGCCTTTGTACAATAAGCTACATCGCAGCAAGCCAGAGATTTCTACACACAGACAAAACTCTCCATTGAGGCGAGCAAGAAGCTTTGTTGCACGTGAAGGTCACATTCCAGGTGGGCAAATGAAGTCAGGGACAGCATGGCACAGGGATAGTAATAATAATAAAAAATTATTATTTAAATTATATTAATTTAAATTATACTAGTAATTTATTATTTATTACTGGAGCTGAGACTCCAGTACTTTGGCCATCTCATGAGAAGAGAAGACTCCCTGAAAAAGACCGTGATGATGGGAAAGATTGAGGGCACAAGGAGAAGGGGATGACAGAGGACGAGATGGTTGGACAGTGTTCTTGAAGCTACCAGCATTAGTTTGACCAAGATGCGGGAGGCAGTGGAAGACAGGAGTGCCTGGCGTGCTCTGGTCCATGGGGTCACAAAGAGTCAGACACGACTAAATGACTAAACAACAACAACAACAAATTTATACCCCGCCCATCTGGCTGGGTTTCCCCAGCCACTCTGGGTGGCTTCCAACAGAATATTAAAATACAATAACCTATTAAACATTAAAAGCTTTCCTGAACAGGGCTGCCTTCAGATGTCTTCTAAAAGTCTGGTAGTTGTTTTTCTCTTTGACATCTGGTGGGAGGGCGTTCCACAGGGCGGGTGCCACTACCAAGAAGGCCCTCTGCCTGGTTCCCTGTAACTTGGCTTCTCGCAGCGAGGGAACTGCCAGAAGGCCCTCAGCGCTGGACCTCAGTGTCCAGGCAGAATGATGGGGGTGGAGATGCTTCTTCAGGTATACTGGGCCGAGGCTGTTTAGGGCTGTAAAAGTCAGCACCAATACTTTGAACTGTGAGAGAGATGACCTCATGAGAGACCCACAGGCCGGATAGAGAGGTCTGCATTCAGCCCATGGGTTTGGCATGGTAGGATCCCCCAAAATTTGCCCTATGGGGAACTGGCTTCAGGCAACAGGCCAACTCTGTGTTACAAAGATGTCTGTGAACATGATGTGAAGGCTAGCAACATTAACCCCGCTGTGTTGGAAACCCATTGTAGACAACCTGGAGACAGTCAGTCAGGTTGTGCATCCATAGCCGTGACCAGAGGAGGAATGACAGCTGGGAGGAGCACAGAGAGAAGAAAGGCCCTGGTGCATCTGCAGCAGCACAACCAGATGCCTTCATCTGCCCCAGCTGCAACAAAACATGTCTCTCCTGTATCAGTTTCTACAGCCACAGCTAGCAATGTAACCTTCCAACAATTTAACTTCACTCCCAAAGGTGCAGTCCTCCATTGCCTCCCAAGACAGACAGATGCCAATAACAATTTTGGGTCCTATTTTAAATGGAATCTGTTGCCACATTCCCACCGTTGTGAAAACATTAACCTACAGGAAACCAGTTGGGTAACCACAAACATTAATCTTGTGCCAAGGCTTTTCTCAAAGCACCTGCAGTTGTTTCACTTCTTTGGGGGCACCTGTCATTGTGATGGCCTGGGACTCGGGCTCAGACTCTGAACCAGAGGAGACTCAGTCTGTACCGGATCCTTTGCCTCAGGCATCATCTGAACCTAGTCTGGGGCCTGATCCTGAAGAGTCCCAATCTGCACAGGTTCCCCTGCAATAAGCCCCAGCTGGGCTGAGTCAGGGGCCTGAGTCTGCCCTGGCTCCAGATGCGGGGATTACCTTGTTGCCTTCAGCTGGGCCATCACTTACAGCTGCTCCACTACCGGCTTGGTCAGGAGAGGCTGAGGCGGCCCCTGGGTCTAGTAACCCATCAACGTCTCCCGAGCTGCAGAGACTAAGGTCTGAGAGAAGGAGAGACCTGAGTACTCGCCTTTGGGTGAAACAGGGAGGTGAGTCATTGGGGTATCAGGACCGGCTGCTACCCCGACAAAGATAAAAGGCTGTCAGACCCCGCCCCAGGTTGCGGGAGCAAGATTGCTGTATGCTAAATCCTGCCTGAGATCCTGTACCTGTCCTTGCCTGGTTTCCTGCCTTGTGTCCTGCCTCAACCCTGTCGGACTGACTCCCAGTGGAACCTTTGGATTGTGGACCGGTCCTGGACTGCGTTTCACGGGTTACCCCTGGGCCCAGCGCAGTCGTCGTCATCATGGGAGCAATTGCTTGTCAAAGGTGGCGAAGTATGCACTGTACCTTCTCACTTCTGGATGTGGCTGGTTGTGTCTTGGGAAGGAGGTTAACATTCAAGAACCATCCACTCTGCTTTCCCCTGCCTAATGGCAGTAATTAAATTCTCAGCAAAGCAGATGGACAATTCTGCCCCCAAAATGGAGATATTTATGTAAATATCACTGAGCTAATTGATGCCTGGCAGCTTCCAAAGGAGCCATACAAGATGCCTTCATTGTGTCAACAGTTGTGAACATGATTTAATGCATTAATAGCTGCCCTTGGAGAGCCATTATCCTGAGTTAAAAGAGTGAGAACAGGGGAAAGGGGGGAAGATAGTAAATCCCAGCACTGGAGATGTTGCATGCCAAGAGGAGGAACGGTGGCAACTTCATTATTATTATTATTTGTTATCATTCATTGCATTTCCACGCTGCTTTATATTTTTAAGGGGTGGGGAGCTCTCAAAAGTAGTTTACAACCTACATTAAAACTTCAAATAAGCATCCAGAATAAAACGTTGCAGAAGAAAGTCAAATACAAAGTATACATTCAAAGCAACGTAATTAACAAGGAACTAAAGTATTATCTTAAATATTTTAAAAATAAAGCTATAGAATGCACATTAAAGGAAGCCAAGTTAATAATTCTTTTATCTTAAATATTTCAGAAGAAAACACCACTAAAGGAAGGCAAACGTAAAATGCGCATTTGAAACACCGTAATTAGCAAGAGAATAAAATATTATCACAAGCATAGAATATATCTGCTGCTGCTGCTGCCAATCCTGCTAATGTAGTAATTAATAATTTGTGCTTTCCTTCTTTATGGCTACAGTGTCGAAGAACTTTTCAAATGCCTCTTGCAAGCGTAATATTACATGAGGTCTAAACCAGGCATAGGCCAACTCCGGCCCTCCAGATGTTTGGGACTACAATTCCCATCATCCCTAGCTAACAGGACCAGTGGTCAGGGATGATGGGAATTGTAGTCCCAAACATCTGGAGGGCCGGAGTTTGCCTATGCCTGGTCTAAACCCTATACAGTGGTACCTCAGGTTACAGACTCCGCTAACCAAGAATTAGTACCTCAGGTTAAGAACTTGGCTTCAGGATGAGAACAGAAATTGTGCTCCAGCGGCGCAGCGGCAGCAGGAGGCCCCAGTAGCTAAAGTGGTGCTTCAGGTTAAGAACAGTTTCAGGTTAAGAACAGACCTCCAGAACGAATTAAGTACTACCGAGGTACCACTGTACAGCTTGGGAGCAGGGTACCTAAAAGATCGCCTCACCCCCTATTTCCAACCAGTCACTGTGTTTGCTGCAGAGGAGAGAGCATCCTGCAGATGTCAGAGACCCACTTTTCAGGAGGTTGGTTCTTCACAATGATGGAACTGGGCCTTTCGTGTGGTGGCACCTGCCATTTGGTACGCCTTCCCATTACATAGCAGTCAGGGTCCTTCTCTGTTGCCTTTCCGAATCTATAAAGATCTTCCTCTTTCAGCAAGCCCTATAAGGCCTAGGACACTCGTACCTCCGGGACCGCCTCTCCTGGTATGTTCCACAGAGGACCTTACGGTCTTCAAACGAAAACATCTTGGAGATCCCGGGCCACAGGGAGGTTAGGCTGGCCTCAACCAGAGCCAGGGCTTTTTCGGCCGTGGCCCCGATCTGGTGGAACGCTCTGTCACAAGAGACTAAGGCCCTGTGGGACTTGACATCTTTCTGCAGGGCCCGCAAGACAGAGCTGTTCCACCAGGCCTTTGGCCAGGGCACAGCCTGACCTCCTTTGGCAATCCTCAGAGAACTCTGGCCCAACGGTTGCCATTAATTTGATTTTGAATTGATTTTAGAATGCTGTGTTTTTAGCCGCCCTGAGCCTGGCTCTGGGGAGGGCGGGATATAAATAAAATTATTATTATTATTATTATTATTATTATTATTATTATTATTAAGCCTTCTAAGCGGAGATTCCCCCTGCCCTCATCTGTATTGCATTATGTATAGATATAGATATTAATGGAATTGTTCTAACCATTTTGAGACATGTAATTGATTTCAAACTGTTCAACGTATGCAATTATTTTATATGCTTTTATTTTATTGTGAAATTGCTTTGCGAGGCTTCAGAGGAACCAATTCATAATTGAAATTATCATAATCAATGCTGTTTTTCTAGAAAAAGAGGTGGATGAACACCTCCCTTGTTCTCTTAGAAAGGCAATGGCACCCACCTGAGAGGTGCCGGAACTCACCATAACTCAGTTCCAGCACCTCTGAGTGGGATGCCATAATAATAATGATGATGATGATGATGATATCATTTCCACACCCATCTTCCTCCCCTCTGGTATGTATATACCCCCAGTTCTTTTTCAGTGCTAACCTCTGTAAGTATAATCTGTGCATCAGCCTTTATCCATGATTAGCTGCAACTAGGATTTATTTATTTTTTGGTGGGGGGAGGGACGGGATTCTAACCATGGTTGCAAATTCTGGTAGGGCACTAACCATGGTTAGCATAAAGGTTGGTGCATACATTTTATTTCGTCTTCATGTTTGTGTTTAGCTCTGAAAAGAGACAGGGATTGATTGATGAGAAAGCAGGAATCGGAAAACAGGGAGGGATATAAGATACAGGGTATGTCATCACGCTCCCCCCACCCCCAAAATATGTTTAGGAAATAAAGCAGAATTTTGAAGCCTTCCAAGCAAAACAGCACCTTCTACACTCCAGTACAGCTGCATTGCACCTTTCCAGTCTTCAAAGTACACCAACTCCTTCTACACTCCAGTGCAGCTGCACTGGGATACAATCAAAATGATGAACACACAAGAGGACAGGGAAGGGGAAGCATTGCTAGGTGTCAGGCAGGTAGTGCTGAGTCAGGGCATTCCTCTGTGTCAGCAGGATATTTACCAGAAACTCAATTAGTCCTTCAGGTACTTTGGGTTCTTAAGACAGCCCAACCTGTTTCCAAACTCTCCAAAAGTGCGTGTCTGTGCACTAAAGTTGGTAATACTATAACTCTTTGCCTTCTTGCTGACACCTTGTAAAGAATTTATATGGCTCCACTGTTTCATTGCACTTTTGGGAACAGTAAACCTCTAAAGCTGCCATCACTGTTAACAGTGTTGTGGAAGGAGTGTCACTCTTGCATATCTTTGTATCCTGCTGAACAGCGAGATGGAAGAAAAGTTACCCTTTCCTGCTTCTCTTTCATGCATGTCCCACAGCTTTCCGAAGCAAAGCTGGGCTGTGTCTGATCAGTAAAGGTATAGGGCCCCTGGATGGCTAAGTCCAGTCAAAGGTGACTATGGGGTTGCGACGCTCATCTCACTTTCAGGCCGAGGGAGCCGGCGTTCGTCCACAGCTTTCCGGGTCATGTGACCAGCATGACTAAGCCACTTCCGGTGCAATGGAACACCATGACGGAAATCAGAGCGGACGGAAACACCGTTTACCTTCCCGCCGCTTTTGAACTGCTAGGTTGGCAGGAGCTGGGACAGAGCAACAGGAGCTCACCCTGTTGCAGAGATTCAAACTGCCCACCTTCTGATCGGCAAGCCCAAGAGGCTCAGTGGTTTAGACCAGAGTGCCACCCGAATCCCTGTGGGTCAGTACCTGGACGGGAGACCACCTGGAAACCACCATGCATACCTCCTTTGTGTTCCATGATGGAAGAACAGTGGGACGCAAAGAAGTAAATTAGAAGCAAGGTGCTACACCAAGGAGCAAGAAGCTCGCTGCAGAGAGCCAGCCAAACTAGGATATTTCTAGACTATTTCAGAACCTAGGATAGCTCCTAGATAGATTATGACAGAGGTTTTCAACCTTTTGAGTCCACAGCTCCCTTGACCAACTACAGTGGTACCTTGGGTTACAAACACTTCAGGTTACAAATGCTAACCCGGAAGTAAGAACTTTACCTCAGGATGAGAACACAAATCGTGTGGCGGTGACGCGGCGGGAGCAGGAGGCCCCATTAGCTAAAGTGGTACCTCAGGTTAAAAACGGTTTCAGGTTAAGACTGGAGTTTTGGAACAAATTAAGTTCATAAACAGAGGTACCACTGTACATTCTTTCTGGTGCTCCTCTGTGGGGAAGCACACTGTGAGCCTCCGAAGCCTAGTTATGTCACCCATTGCCTGCAGAGCTGGCAGCCCCTCACCCTTTTTTGAACACCCTCCCTTGTGGAGTGTTCCCTCAGCCTCCTCTCCTCTCCCCTCTTCTTGGGAGTCCTCTGGGCAGCCACCGCTACCACTGCCCCTGCTTCGCCCCTGAGCTGCCCCCTCCATCTCACCCCAAAGAGAGGTGCTTCCTCACATAGCCCCACAGGGGCCTGGGAAGAGGATGCCCACAGCCTTAGCAGCCTGATGGAGTCTGGCCAAAGCTGAATGTGAAGCCACCATCTTACTTGCCTTGGGAGGCAGTACTGATGGCAGCAGGTGCCGCAGGGCCTGCATGGCGAAAAGGTTCCCCTTTGGTGTTGATTTTCACACTGAGAGCCAGTGTGGTGTAGTGGTTAAGAGCGGTAGACTCGTAATCTGGTGAATCGGGTTCGCATCTCTGCTCCTCCACATGCAGCTGCTGGGTGACCCTGGGCTAGTCACACTTCTCTGAAGTCTCTCAGCCCCACTCACCTCACAGAGTGTTTGTTGTGGGGGAGGAAGGGAAAGGAGAATGTTGGCCGCTTTGTGACTCCTTCAGGTAGTGATAAAGCAGGATATCAAATCCAAACTCTTCTTCTTCTGCTGCTGCTGCATGTCCCATCCCTGCCCGGCACATGAATGCTGCCCGGCAACAGTGGAAATGGCAGCCTCCTCAATATTGAGCGGGCTTGGCCCTCTGCCCAAATATTGAGGGGGTCGAAGCCCCTTCTGCCCCCTATAGCTGGAGCCCCTGGCAGTCAGTGTCAGTACTGGACGAAAGAGTGATCAGGGCAGTTGCATTACACTTCCCAGGAATAGGATTCTGAAGAACTGCAAATAAAGAGTTGAGGAGAAACCAGGTTCGTTTTCCTCCTCTCAGTGATGAAACAGATGGACAACGACACCCAATAAATAATGATATTAGCACAAACACCACCAAATTAATTGGTGCTTTTTATCTGTGCCAAAAGAGAGAACGCAAGCTACTTACATGTTTCCAGCAGCTGCCTGTACAATTTGCCACATAAATGCCTTCTCCTGCTGAATCACTACCCCGAGTGCAAAGATTCTGGGATTTAATTTATTTTCTTGATCAGGGGTACTGAATTCTAAGATGACATGCAGTGCCTGTTCCGCAGTAAATCTCACAGCCCCTGCAATAAAAAGCGGACCCTCTGTAATATATGGCTTTCTGCCTCGCTCTCTTTCCTCTCCCAGAAAATGATAACATCGGGATTTAAATTCCTCTGCTGCTCTTTAGTTATCTGAAGGGATTTTCTATCTCTCTTTAAAGCACTTTCAAAGCATTTCTCTCTTTGGTTAAAGGAAAAGGCGCCTCACTTTTTTTTCTATTAGCTATAGGCACAGTGCACCGGGCAACTTGGCTGGCTGCATCAGTTGAAGCTGGGAGGGAGGCCATGAGAGAGATAAAATGAAGGAGCAAAGTCACGCTAGAAAAAGGTGTACTATATTGCATGCTAACCTCACCTTTAAGCTGAAGGGGTTCAGACTTGATGAGGCTCAAGCCACACCCAGGTGTAAGGTCTTGCCTGAGAATAGTAACTTGCATCCCCTACTGTCAGAGGAGAGATAGATAAAACTTTATTCGAATTAGCCAATGGCCATAGCAACAATAAAACATTACATTATACGCAGAAAGGGAAATTTGATATAAGGAAATTTGATACTGTCAGAGGAGCTGGGGGTCAGGCATAGGTCAGCAATAAAATTAAAAAGTGCTTGATGTCGGTGAAATCAACTCGTTATTGAAATAAAGCAAACAGCTTGGTCCTTTTTAAAATAATAATAATAATAATTTAATTTTATTTTACAAGTATAAAATTATAACAATACACCCATACACACCCACATTTACAAATTCCTCCAAATCTCTGGACTTCCCACCTCCCCTCCACAGGTCCTTTTATTAAACCTTTCCTACTGCATCTTTTCCAATAATCTATATTTTATATAACATCGTTGTCTCCGTAGTACTTGCTACATTGCAAGTGTTATTGCAACCCTGCTAATGTTTTCATCTGCTTACAGTGGTCTCTGAGATAAATTATCAGTTTTCCCCATTCTTTGTTAAAGTTTTGGTCTTCTTGGTTTCTGAGCTTTCCAGTCAGTTTTGCCATTTCAGCATAGTCCAATAGTTTGATTTGCTATTCTTCTCTGAAAGGGACTTTATCTTCTTTCCATCTTTGGGCTAATAGCATCCGTGCGGCTGTCGCCACATACATAAAAAATCTTTTCTGTTCCCTTGGAATATCAGCAACTATAAGTCCTAATGGGACGCAGGGAGCGCTGTGGGTTAAACCACAGAGCCTAGGACTTGCCGATCAGAAGGCTGGTGGTGAGCTCCTGTTGCTCGGTCCCTGCTCCTGCCTACCTAGCAGTTTGAAAGCATGTCAAAGTGCATGTAGATAAATAGGTACCACTGTGCTGGGAAGGTAAATGGCATTTCCGTGTGCTGCTCTGGTTTGCCAGAAGCGGCTTAGTCATGCTGGCCACATGACCCGGAAGCTGTATGCTGGCTCCCTCGGCCAATAAAGTGAGATGAGCACCGCAACCCCAGAGTCACCCATGACTGGACCTAATGGTCCCTTTACCTTTTTATAATTCCTAATAAAAAAAGCCTCTGGTTTTTGTTTGTTTTTACAAGAGTTAATTTGAACATTTTTTTTATCTCATTGTATATCGTTTCCCAGAATGCTTTTATTACCTTACATGTGATAAAAGGTGCCTTCTTTTTCTTTACCTTTCCAACAGATATTTGTACCAAACAAACAGTTCAGTCCTAATGGTCACAGCAACCCTTTTCCAGTGGGTCTGCCAGAGGTAGAGAAGCACTGCCACCATTGATGCTGGAGCAAGATGGCATCCATTCTGGGTGAGACCTCACCTGAAATTGGTGCGCTCCAGTGGCACCCGGTGTGCAGTGGCAGGCAGAGCAGGCAGCAGTAGGTAGGTAGTGGCAGGGCAAAGTGTTCCACAGCTCCTTGTGATTGGGACACCTGGTTGCAAAATTGCCACCGTTGCACGGGGCCAAGTAGACCTGAGTAGGTGCTGGCACCTTCAGATTTTCCCTGTTGCAGAAACTGGTCGCAGCCATCGTCCTGTGACTGATGTGCAAAGAGGGCTTAAATCTTTCAGTGTCACTCAGAACAAGGTTGCGTATCCCTTGTTCTCTTCAGCATCCTTGTCTGCTGCCAGGGGTGGGGGATCTCGCAAGGTGTCAAGGCAGTGGCTTAATTTATTTTACATTTTAAGCAGAACAGGAAAAGCAATCTCCGATGCTGACAAGCCTAATTCTCTCCCAAGACAAAAGGGATTTCGAGGATGTGAAGGCAAGGACTTGGTATAATGAGGGTGGCGGAATGGAGGACAGGAAGCGTGAGTGACTTGCGCTTCCTGTTCCCTACGAAGGCCATAGAAAAACTGATATACCTCCCACAACGCCCACCCCACCTCCCACAGAGAGTGAAACGTACAAGCTGTTCCTGCTCTGCATATGCATCTCACTTAAGGATGGCAAAATCTGTCAATTTCCTCTTACTTTCTCTTCCTTTCCAATCTTGAATTCAGCTTTCCACATTTCCACTGCATTTTTTGAAAGATAAAAATCCAACAACATCTTAATGCAAATTAGGTATAACTCCTAACTCCCTACTCTGAGCTGCTAGCTTTCATTGCCTCTAACTCTCCGCTTTAAATTCTGGCTTTATCTGTTGACAGATGGTCACCACCCATTTGCCGTCTGGCACAGAGTCCTTTGATCCTGTGTTTTCTTAATGGCTCATCTCCCAGGCTATCACCACATGCAATAAATTTAGCCTGGTTTAATTAGCTGTTGGAACTTGCTGATTCCAGTGGATTAGAAGTGTCTAGCACACAGCTCAATACATATGGGTCTGGCACCCAGTTTTAAAACCCTAAGCCTTCTTTAAATTCTAACACTAGCTTGATCCACAGGTTATAGTGGCCTAGCACTCACAAACTCATAGCACAAACCATCTTACCCAATACAATGCATTTATAGATTATTTTCTCTCATATGTGTGTGTGCGTGCGCATGCATTTTATGTGCACCTAATATACACATTTTCATACACATTGATTGGTTGGAGCAGTGCGCTGCAAAATTTGGAGAAGTGTGGCTCTTGAATGACACTTGTGTTTCAGTTCATGTATTGGCTGGAGATATGTGAATCAGTGAGTTTCTGATAAAAATTCAAGCAACATATAATTTCTCTCACATCCCTAATCTCACTGCAACAGGTGGGTGAGAGAGGTGCAAGTTCTGGTGTAGTGGTTAGAGTGTTGGACTGGGACTTGGGAGATCAGGGTTCCAATCCCCACTTGGTCATGAAGCTCACAGGGTGACTGTGGCCCAACCCCTCCCTCTCCCTCTACACTTGAGTAGGACCCTGCTAGAGACACATGCCCGACTGGCATGTTCTCTCCCTCCTGGCCAATCGTTCAGGAGCTTCAAAAGCTTTCTTCAGCATCACAGCGACCGATGCCAACCGACACTGGCACACTTAGGGATCCGCAGAGTTTGCACATCAAGCGTAACAGACCTCAGCAACTCAGCATTTTGGCTAATCTACTTTATTTACATATAAACACACAAGGAGCACTGCAACACGGCTCCCTCTCTCTCTACCATCAGACTGCAAAGAGAAAAAGGACAAAGGACAATAGTACCACTTCATGGAACACAGTAACACAAACATCCTGTCTCCGTCACTTCCCACTCTGTGGAGTCAAAACAGACACCGTCATGTGATAGACAAAAATCCCATAACTGCTACCATGGAGCAGGAATTCTAACACCTTACAGGGTTGTTGTGGAGATTAAATGAGGAAGGGGAGTGACATGCATGCCTCCTTGAGCTCCTTGGAGAAAAAGTTGGGATAGAAACGCAGGAAGTAAGAAAATAAAACCTGGGCACTGCATTGCAATGAATCAAGAAGAACAAGAAGCAGACGTCAGCCATGCTCCCTCTTCCCTCCTCCTATTGCATTATTTGAGGCCACCTAAGATTGCCCGCAAACTGTTTGTTCACCCGGCAGCTTTGTTGCCTGGAGGTCTCTCTCTCCCTACAGTTTCCCCTTGAAACTCAAGCATCTGGCCGCAGTTGCATTTAAGGGTTTGGAGCGTTTATTCATTTCAAATTCATTCCATTTCTTTCTCTCTGCATGCTCTTGCCAAGTTATTAAAAACTCATCTCCTACCCTTTTCATAATATGTTTTTTTTTGTAGGGGTGGGAGTGAGAGGCAGAGGGAAAAAAACCCCGAACTACCTAAGATAGATGCATAAAATTGCTAGTGGATGCAGAAGCGACTCTAGGAATCGAAGATAAGTCCCTCTTCCAATAGATAAGACGTGCTGTTGTACTGCACAGCCACTTTCCGCACTGCTAATGTGCCATTTTGATTCCAGAAGTGTTTGAACATAATGCTTCCCATCTTACAGTCTGCTCCTTCCTCTCTCTCTCTCTCTCTCTCTCTCTCTCTCTCTCTCTCTCTCTCCTGCCCTCCCCCACATTTTCATTTTCAGCTTTAATCTCTTAGATCACAGCCCGTGTGCACTTTTGAAAAGAAAGTAAGAGCTTTTTAGGCATCCTGGAGGAATTGTTATACACGACCTTCCATTTCCACTTTTGTCATAAACTCACAGGCAGCCTGGAGTCTTGAGCTCAGACTAGTATGTTTTGAATCCTGTTGTTTAGCACTGATTTAGGCACAGTGGAGTGTACTCCATATAACAGGACAGAGCTTAGGCTTCTGGGATCTACAGTGGTACCTCGGGTTAATAACTTAATTCATTCTGGAGTTCTGTTCTTAACCTGAAACTGTTCTTCTAAATTCTAAGAAACCTAAAAAATCAGCACAATTCTGAAAGGTTCCGTGCACAACCTCAATTCAGAGTGTCACCCAACCAAATCTAAATACAGTGGTACCTCGGGTTAAGTACTTAATTTGTTCCGGAGGTCCGTTCTTAACCTGAAACTGTTCTTAACCTAAAGCACCACTTTAGCTAACGGGGCCTCCTGCTGCCGCTGCATCGCCGCTGCACGATTTCTGTTCTCACCCTGAAGCAAAGTTCTTAACCCAAGGTAATATTTCTGGGTTAGCAAAGTCTGTAACCTGAAGCGTATGTAACCCGAGGTACCACTGTACTTTCTTGATTTTCACTAGAGTCGCAAGGTTTTACCAACTGGAGCCTGGTGGGCGTTAGGGCTGTGCATAGGAGCCAGCTGAGGCTGGTCCCCAGGGGTTGAGCCCTTTTGACCACCCCTAAATTTTGGGGGAAGTGGCCAGGCCCCTGCACATCCCAAAAGTGTGGAGCCAAAGAGTGGAGATGAGTGTAGCATGCCTCCAGTGGCAGGTTCCTCCTCCTGCCACAGAGGTAAAGAAGGGTTGAAGAAGCCTTCTGCTGCTTCAGGAGGCGGGGGAGAAGCTACCAGCAATTGAGCCACGCAGCCTTTGTTTTCAGCTGTGCCTCTGACTCCTCCCAATGTGTAACGTCGGGATGTCATGAATTCAACGGCACAACATTGATCCCTCCCCCAATCGCCCTTGCAGGCTGGCACCTCTGCTATCCTCCCATGTTTTCTGAGTAATTTTGGGGAAGTAATTTTAGCTGAGAGGTAGAGCATCCAGAAGGGATGCGGGTGACGCTGTGGGTTAAACCTAGGACTTGCCAATTAGAAGGTCAGCGGTTCGAATCCCAGCGACGGGGTGAGCTCCCGCTGCTCAGTCCCTGCTCCTGCCAACCTAGCAGTTTGAAAGCACATCAAAGTGCAAGTAGATAAATAGGCACCACTCCAG